TTGTCCACTCGGCAAAAATTGATGGATATTGGTTGGGAATTGTTGTTACACCCACCATATAGCCCTGATCTCGCGCCATCGGATCACCACTTATTTCGATCCCTGGACAACTCCCTTCGTGGTAAAACTTTTAACGACGATGACGCTGTAAAATCTCACTTAACTCAGTTTTTGGCCGAAAAGGATCAGACTTTCTACGAGCGTAGAATTTTCAAGTTGTCAGAGAGATGGCGAAAGGTCATCGAACAAAATGGAAAATACATTACAGATTAAACTTCGTTCCAAGTAAAAAAAAATTTTTTATTTCATTGAACAAATCGGCAATTACTTAATTGCCAACCCAATAATTGGTGACCCGTCGTTTCAACGGGTTCCGTAAATACGTATATCGTTATGAAAAATCATCGTCCTTGAAAAGTTTTCAACTGTACGATATTTCAACTGTCCCGAGCATTGCAATTTTTCTGAATTTCAAGCTGACCTGTTTCCCCTTACGGTGCTTGAATTTTACAAACTTTACAAACTTATATACATATACAGGGTATCCCAAAAATGTCGAGCAATTCGAAAGTGGCGGGTTCCCCAGGTCATTCGAAGCAACTTTTTCCTTTACAAATCATAAAAAATCGAACAAAATGGAAAATACATTACAGATTAAACTTCGTTCCAAGTAAAAAAAAATTTTTTATTTCATTGTACAAATCGGCAATTACATAGTTGCCAACCCAATAAATTCGATTCGATTCTCGATTCGATGGTAGATCGATGGCGGCTTCTCGTCTACGAAATCACGCGGACCGTGACAACGGTGACGTTCGTTCCGAGACCTCGGTAGTAACGCAGGATGCGACTACCGAGGCACCGGATGATTAGTAACTTGGTATTGTTATGCAGGTTTACATAAGAGGCTCATGGTATCAGCAATGTGCCTAGTATGGCGCTGTTCGACCGCATGCCTGGTCGACAAAAAAAGAAATATGTATATGAAAGAAGAAAAAAGAACGGCCAATGAGAGAAGGAGGTGGATAAGAAGATGGAGAAGGAGGTGGAGAAGACGACGAAGCCGAGGAAGGCGATCGAGTAGAAGGAGGTCGAGGAGGTCGAGGAGGAGGCGCAGGAGGCGATAGGTGGGAGCACACTTATGCAATAGAAATTACGAGCGGTTACAAAGTTTTCGAGTAAGAGAAAGAAGCCTGTAACTATCTATTACATATCGGGGAATCCGAGCGGCGCGTTCGGTTTTTAAAATTGCCCCCCTGGCCTCTTTTCTCGAATGGAAACGATGTCAAGAATCCACAGTGATTTTACAGTGAACCTTGCTTAACAGTGAATCGAAACTTTACAAGCCTTGTCTCGTTTCATAGGAATCGCCTGAATCATGTAATCCTCCCGCGAGCACCGTAAAATGCGTTTATGCGTTCTCGCCGACCGTTTTTTTTATCGTTTCATCCATTCGAGGGCCGTGCTCGCATTGCAGCGGGACCAGAACAATGATATTGTTCCGTGGACAATATCGGCAGCGCTAATAGGCAGAGCAAGCTCGAGTTCGATTCGCACGAAGACGCGCAACTTTCGTTCGATCACGATCGCGATTACGATTGCGCGGCCGAGGGAAGCTGTTGCGACAATTGCGGACCACTAATCGCGACCAGAAAAATATTATTTCGTTCACTTATTCACGGGAAAAATCCTTTATCGCAAGAGAAGACGTTACATAGGGTAAAAAGAAAATTCAAAATTATACGAAAGAAAATAGAATTTTGTTATCGTTGCGTCGAACTGACGCGCCGATCTCTTTACCGGACAGTTTTAAATCTTCTCTCTGCTGAAATATCGAAACCGAAGAAACGTTTCCGATTGCGTCTATATTCCAAATTCTAGATTCTAAATTCCAGATTCCAGATTCTAGATCGTCGGTGAAACTGCTCGGTGTCTTTCTTGATCGATTCCAAAGTCCTTCGCGGCGCGCGCATTACCATAATTCTATACAAATTATTCAATGAGCCGTTGTGGTAGTCGCGCATCGCCCAGACAAAGGACTACAAAACGGTTTTTAATCTGACATAAGTTTCCCCCAAGATTCACCTTTTGACCGGCCTTTATGTTGTCCAAAGTTCTTTCTAATCTAAAAGTCAATTCGCAGTATACATATTTTCCATTTCGAGCCGCATAATGTGAACAGCGACG